GCACTCACTATCGCAGCGCCTGGTGTGCCAGCAGACCGCCAAGCAGAGAGCCGAGCGCATGAGAGGATTGGGTGAGCGCGACCAGCACGCGGCGCGAACAAATCAAATCGAATTCCATGATCAGCGACTTGTACGCAGCATGGTGTTCCACGCGCTCACAGGGCAGCGTCGTCTGTTGCGTGCCATTCCAGCTCTGGCCGTAGCGCTGCACAAAGCTCTGGGACAAGCTCTGCGCATAGGCATTGCACACCTGCACGCTGAATAGCCGGTCCGTATTGCGGCTCTCGCTCTGCAGCGGCTCGCTGTCATTCCAGTTGCCCGGACGGCAGACCAGCTCCCCGCGCTTCGGATACGGCGCTGTGTATATGATGACGGCCATAAACCAGGCCGTGGGTATCTTGCACAGAAAGATTAGGAGTATTGTGCGCAGCTGCCAGCGTCCAAAGTTGCCATTGATATGCTGCACAATATCCACGCCCGGCGCTGGTGCAGAGGATCTGCGCCGCTGACAGATCGCATCGCTTGCCATCGTCGTCGTTTACCCGCTGAAACTTACACGCGCACTGAGCTTGGACACAATTTTCATGGGCGAGGAAATAAATTCAGGTTTGCTTTTGCTATTAACTAAACGGGGCTCACAAATTGGGTGCAAATTAGTTGCCGATACGCGACGAAATGCTGCATCGATTGGAGAGGAATTCTTACTTATTTTTTATATGCTGTTCACAAAGTGAGAAAACGGGTATATTCGTTGTGTGCCTGTCAGTTATTTTAATACCCTGAAACCATTAAAAACGGGTAAAAAGGGTATAATGTATTTGTGCAAATGTATGTCACAGGCAGAAGGAAGCATCTCCGACCCCATAAAGTATATATATTCTTGATCAGCATCAATAGCCGAGTCGATTTAGCCATGTCCGTCTGTCTGTCCGTCCGTCCGTCCGTCTGTCCGTATGTATGAACGCAAGGTTCTCAGAATCCATAAGAACTAGAGACTTGAAACTTAGCTGAAGGTACTCCTAGTCCCCGCGCAGATCGAGTTTGTTTCCGATATTCGATAACTTGCCCCGTTTCCAAGTAATCGAACAAAATCGATATCGAAATCCTGTTTTTTGCGCAATTTTGGTAAATAATAAGAGCTAGAGTCACCAAACTTGTCATGTAGCTTCTAGAATAGTAAATATACCACAAGGGGCAGGCACATATATATACTATATATATATATATGTATATATATAAATTTTTTTTTTTTTATCCAACGTCACGTCATTAACTCAAAAGTCATGCACACTTTTTCCATTCACTTTTATAATATCGCGAACAGAGTATAGCATCGTCGTTTAAACGCGACCGAAGCGTTTTTTCTTTCGTTGTTTTATTTTGTTATGACGGCAAACTACGTAAAGCGTTAAATAAATAACATAGGCTAAAAAAAGAATTTACACAAATAATAAAATTTATTGTGATTTTTCTATTCACAGGATGCGGCTGTAAAAGTGCATCAATAGATCATAATACAACCGTGGTGATAATTCAAATTCAATTTACATGAGATAAGAAAAACCAGATGCAGGAAGTTGGGCCTCTGATGATTCATGTCGAATTGTAAGTAGAATTGAGTGGACGATTGCCTTACGCTAATCCGTAAGATGCTTGGATAATGCCAGGGAAATAAACTCGTCTGTTTGATTGAGCTCTAGCAGGTATAATTCTCAGATACTTAAAGATAAAAAAAATGCTCAGATCCACAACGGTGCTCAACCTTTAAACTGCTGGAATATCAAGAAAAACGAAGAAAGCACAATTTCGTATTATGTATTCTTTATTGAATTTAGTCATTCTGACCTGCATTTAATTTTGTATATATCTCATTTTCTCATGCCCAAATTCTATGATCTCTTCTCACACTATTTGTTTGACTCGTTTAGAGAATCGTGAAACTTGAAATCATAATTGAAATAATTCATTTGCTTACATTTTGCGCAAAGTCATGCTGTTTATTTACTTATTTGGTTTTTTTACTTAGCTCTTTTTTTGTGTGTTGCTATAAAATGGCACAAATTGCCGGCTTACTATATATGCAGTTTATTTTTGAGCCGAATTCATTATTTGCATATGCTCATATCATTTTTTGGGCTTTTTTGGATTTATCCATTTTTTATTATTTTATACGTAATTCGATGGTTTTCTTTTGTTAAACGAGGTTTTGTTTTTTAAATTTTTTTGCAAATTCAATACATTTTCGTTTTAGTTTTGTTGCTTTTTTTCCAATTAATTATTGTCTTAAACAATTATGCCAGCTAACAATATTAACGCTCTACAAATAAAATGCATGTAACAAATTTATTTTAAATCGAAAATATAATTAAACATTACTTTTGGGTATGTTTTTTATTTTTTAAATGTTATTTACATGTTGTGCTGAGGAATTGTATAAAATAAATGCGTTTTTGAATCTCAGAAGGAAAGAAAAAAACAAACATTTGCTTTTTAGTTTTTGAGAGCTATGCACTAAATGTAGATTTGGCTTTTGCAAAGAATTTACACAACAAAAGTTATAAAAACATGTTAAATACATTAAAATTAAATTAAAACTAAATTATGGCGTGTAGTCTATGCGCTGGATGCATTTAAATAATAATATTTGTATATATGTGTAGTTTATAAGATACGTAGCTTTATTTACAATATACGAGTGCGACTTATCAGCAAGGAGTGCAGTAGTTAGTTCATAAGTAGGATAACTACCTGCTACCTCTAAGACTACAATCCTAAATGTCATATACTATATGCGCACAGAGATTTTTGTTACATTCATGAGAGAGCGCAGCTAATGCCATGTTTTTGTCGCTTGTTTTGCAGCTTTCTGTTTTGATTGAGTTTAAATATATATAGTAATTCGATTTTTAAGTTTTTATCAGTTTATAATAATCGTTAACATTATGCTTAGACACTAGTTTAAAGTCCTTTGTTTAGTTTTTCTTTTTATCTTTTCTACTGCATCATTTATGCTTTATGGGGGGAAAGGGGCTGCTCTTAAAAACGAAATGCTACACATTAATTTTTGGTTTCCAAATGGATCCGTTTAATGATCCGTGCTAAGCGCATCCTCGATGTTGCTATCCCAATTGAATTCCGTAATTCCTTGCTTGTAAAATATATTGCCCAGATTCGCAAAGCGTTGCTCAAAATTTGCATCTTTTGCTTTCAGGTGCTCAAAGCTGCAAGAAAGAGTGAAAAACAGGAAAGAGAATTCATATGAAGTCGGATTTTAAATAAAATGTAAGTAATACTATATTATTCTATTGATATAAGATATACTATATATTTATATTTTTTATGTTTCAGTATTATGATCGGTAGCTCCCATAATTTTAAACCACGTGTCATAAAGTAGATAAGGTCAAAAATATTCAAATGTTTTCAAAACTCTAAAACTGCCGTACTTTGTTTCGTTCCTCGAAAGCTTATAATTCTCAACAAGTTACAGCTTCGGAAAGGGACAAGGCAGTTGCGATTCAAGATTCGATAGTAAAGTCTGCTGATGATAGAATCGTGGGGTTTCTTGAAACAGATAACCCGCTCATTTCTTGTTGATTATTATACTTATTTAAAATAACCAAAATGGGTCTCGAGTTGTGCAGCTTAATAATCGACCACAGCTTTATATAGTCCACAGTTGCAATGTCAACGATTAAAATTCATTTTAGCTGGAAATGGGTTGAGTTTTAGAGTAAAATACAAACACCGCTTGACCTTCAATATATTTATTTAATTTTTAAGGTTTTTCTTAACAATGCCATTTCAGAAGTTGCTCAGAATAGTTTTATGCGACTTACAAGGTGTTTAACCTTCGTATAGCAATTGCTTTTCTAAAATCCTTTACAAGGAATTGCCTTTATTCGCATAGTGGACTACCTGTATAGGCAGAAATACTTCCTAATACCTGACCCGTGCCAGCACGAAAATGCCAGCTGATCCTCAAGACAACGGGCTACAGTTTTTCAACGGGATCTATGAATTTCCCGTAGAAGCAAAGAATTGAAGTGAATGAACAAGAATTAAATAAGTTTGAATATGGGAGAAAATGCAAAGAAAGTTTGCTGGATCTGCGGAATAGCTTTCTTTATCTTCGCCTCGACAGACTTCTAGGACCGCTCCACTTATTTGGCACATACTGTACCTTATTACGATCATTTTGAGTACCAAAACAGATTTTTACAATTTTTTACGAACTTTGCTCGACTCGAATCAAAGGGAGAGAACTGTGTGCGGATTGTGAGAATTGGGAACTTTCTTAAGCCTGCCAACCCTCTGTCCCGTGTGCTGATATTTACCTCGTTTGTTTTTTGGGTCTTGCCACAAAGCTGAACAGTGGTAAGTAAATCCTCATGCCTTATGCAGCAAATCAAAATTCAATTGTTGCTGCAGCTGTGCTCAGTGCAGCTGTATATAATTAGAGAGGAGGAAGACGACGACGCAATACCTTGTACCGCAGTCCAGGGGCATTGTTAGCGCAGAATGTCAAAGGTCATATACAATGCAGAACCTGAACCCTGACAAAACGAAAGAAGAAAAAAACCCAAGACAAAGAGCGACAGGCAGCAGATTTTACAACAGTCCCTTAAAGGCAGTTCGAACCCTGGACTGAAGTCATTTGCAGTTGAAAAAAACACTTTTTCCAGAGCTTGTTAATAGCTGTAGTAGTTGTTGTTGTTGTTGGTATTGTGGCCCACCCTTAAGCCGCGCATGCGCAGCTGCAGAGCTGTGCCTCGAGCCGCATCCGTTACGCCTGAGGAACTTGCAAGAAGGAAGTCGCAAGTCCGGAAAGTTCCCATTGAGTGCGTCGCACAGCCGCAATCAGCGTCGTCTTCTAGATGAGGGGTTGGAAAAACTTGTGGAAAAGGCAGGCAGGAAATCAAAACGAGTTTTCAGATTGTTTGTTGTAGATGCAGCAAAGCACATCATGTATTTCATATATAGAGTGGGGGGAGGGGGGTCTCTTAACTTATTTATAATAATTAATTGGAAAAAATTTAGCCTAATTTCGTTTGAATTTCGTTTCCGGTCGTTGCGTCAAGCGTTTGCTATTACATATTCCGCGCCTTGAGCACCTGCTTTTGCGGCGGACTGGGCACGTTCTCCTTGCCGCTGGCAAAGATCAGCGATTTCTTGGGCGTGCTGGCCGCCGATTTGGGTGTGCGCGGCGTCCGTGGACTGTGGGGGGTGCGCGGTGTGCGCGTCTTGGGCGATTTACAGGCGAGCAGCTCGCTGAGCTCATTGTTGTTATCCTGCCGGACGTTCTTCTCGGATGAGTTGAGCAGCCAGGAGGTGATCTTATCGCATTCGGCACGCAGCTCCGAATCGATGAGCAGATCTTCAATCTTCTCCAGATCTGTGGTATTCGGTTTGTTCGCCTTGCTGGGCGTCAATATGGCCACAGTCGGCTGTTGCTTCGATTTGAGCGCAATATTCTCCAGCTTGAGCTGTTCGCACTCCTCGCGCACCTTGAGCAACAGCTGCTCCTTGTTGTCCAGCTCCAGCTGGGCGAACTGCAGCACAGTGGCAAACTCATCCAAGGCCTTCTTCATGTCCGCCATATACAGCTCACGCGTCTCATCCTTGCGCTTCAGATCGCTGTACATGTCACAGTAGTGGGCCAGCTGGGCATCCCCGTCGATGCGCTCCTGGAACGAGTTAGCAATCTTATTGAATTTGGCCAGCGTATCCGATTCGCTGGCTAGCAGCTCATGCAGCATCGATTCTTTCAACGATACCTCCTGCTGTAGTGCTTGCGAGGAGCTACGCAGCGCCTCCAGAGCTGTTTGCGATTCCGTGAGCTGTTGGCGCAGCTGTGCCGCATCAGATTGCAGCGTTAGATAGCTCTGCTCCAGTGCGCCCTTGGCCAGCTGCACCGATTCCAGCTCGGCCTTGTATTGCTCCACATCGGCATCGGATTTCTTGAGGCGCTCCATCAGTATGTTGACCGTGGAGCGTGTGTTGTTCAGTGTTAGCTGATAGTTGTACTTCTCCGTAATGGTCTTGGCCATGTCCTGCTTGAGCTGGACCAGCTGCTGTTGGAGCGTATCGCTCAGCTGGATGTAGTAGTCGATGCCGTTGCGCAGCTGCTCCTCGCATTTCTGTAGCTTCTCATCGCGCTGGCGCAGCATATCGTTGGTGGTCTCGAGCAATACCATCACATCCTGTTTCTCTAGCTCGATCTTGATGAGCTCATTCTCGGCCAGCTTCTGGCGCTTGTCCAGCTCGGCGCGCCAATAGCATTTCTCACGCTCCACGGCGCTCTCCAGCTCGTTCTCCACCTGCTGCTGTGCCTGCTGCTGCTCCGCATGCTTGGCCTGCTCCTGGCACAGCTGGCGTATGGTATCGCAGTGTGCATCGATTTCACACGACTTGTCCAGCAGCTCGTCCTGCAGCGAACGTATCAGCGTGCACTTGTTGGCCAAATCATTCTTCAGCGTGTTGCGCTCCACGCGCAAGCACTCCAGCTCCGTTTGGCTGATCTTCGTCTCCTGGCCATAGGCCAAGGCATCCTGTTCGATTTGCTGCTTCAGCTGCTGCACATTTGACAGCAGCTCGGCGTTCTGCGACTGCAAGCTCTCGATACGCTCCAAGTGCTCTGTGTTCTGCTGCTGTGCCGAGCTGCATGTGTCCCGCGCCTCGTTGAGCTCCGCTTGGAGCGCGTCCAGCTGCGCCTGGAGCTGCTCCTGTGTGGTCTGCTGCTGCTCGCAGGCCAACTGGAGCTGCTCATTGGCCAGCTTGTAGGCCTCGTTTTCGGCCAAAAGACGCTCCACTTGCCGCTCGTGCTGTTCGCGCTGCTGCTGCAGCTGCTGCTCTAGTTGGGCGTACCGTTCCAGCAGCTGTGTCTGCTCCAGGCTCAGCTGCTCGTTGCGCTGCTTGTGGCCCAGATTTTCGCTGCCCAATGCCTGCAGCAGCTGTTCGGTCTTGGCTGCCGTCTGCTCGTGCTCCTCGCGCATCTTCAGCTCCGTCTCCTTCAGCTGGTCCACATGACGTCGCACCACATCCAGCTGGCTCAGATAGCTCTCGATCAGTTCGTTCTTGTTGCGTATTTCCTGCTGCAGCGCCTCCTTGCCCTTTAGCCGATTCGCCGACTTGGCCTCCTTCACGGGCGTCGTTGTGGCCGAGTGCAGCGGCGTCGAGGCAGCCGTTGAGGCGCCACTGCCAGTTGCAGCTTCTGCAGTGTGGCTGGGCGCTGGACGAAAGCGCAAACGTTGCGGCAGCGAGGGCGTGCGAAAGAGACGCAGGCCCTTGGACTTCTTGTCCTCCTTGGGTATGGCAAACTCCTTGGCGTCCTTGGAGCTGGAGGCAAAGCGCACCGCATCCTTGAAGAACTTTTCGATTTGCTCCTTGCGCTCCGGCGGCGGTGGCGCTGCAGCGGCTGTGGGCGTGGCGCTGCCCGTGGAGCCCGCCGAGCTGTTCGAATTGGAGTTGGCAGCTGGAGAGCCGCAAACGACATCCACATCGTTGAAACGCTTCAATTTGGCTTTGGAAAAGGACATGTTTTGTGCTTTCTGTTTGGGTTACTTTAACACTTTGTTTCTTTAACTTTTCTTATTATATTTTAATGTTTAATTAACAATTTGCTGTTCAATAACAAAAACTCAATAAAACAATTCTTTTAGTTCGCAAACACAACATTAACTTTTATAAAAAACGTTTTAACAAATGTCCGTTGAATTTTGCGCTGTACTGTATAGTCCGTTGTTGTTGTTGTTGTTTTTGTTGTTCTTATGATATTTCCCGCAACCCGCTTGCCCCTTACTGCAGCTGCATCTATAGCTCTGTTCCTACGCGTTCCGTTGTCAAAACCTAACTGAAGCGTTGCGAGCTGCGACGACGCAAACGCGGCCTGCGCAACGATCACGAGCAAAACAACCCTCGACCAGGCATGGCAAAAGGTAGCGAGGGGTTACCTTTTGGTGGTGGTTCGTGCCACACACACACACACATACACTACCTTATCGCTATCTTATGTGAAGCATAGAAATTTTACTTTTGGCGCGCGCAAATGTTGCAATTGTCAAGACAGCAAAGGAATCCCTAAAGAAACGTCCAAGTAGTGCGTGTGTGTGTGCGCGCTTGTGTTCCTAGACATCTGTCCAAGAATCACATAGAGCTCTCGCTGTATATACATATATATATATATATATACATATGTGTGTGTGCATATAAAAACGTTAGTGCCCCCCACTCCAAGCATGGAAAAGGTGGCGGCCACAGCTGGCAGCCAGCATAAAGTTTGACACTCGACCCGCATAATTAAAGGAAAAGTCGTGGAAAATGTGAAAATGCGCAGCGTTGCGCCTGCGCCTACCATTCAATCGCATGGCAAATGGTTAAACTGAATTGCGTTTATATGTGTTATATTCACATATATAGTTTTAGCCAGCAGCCAGTTTGGCTGCTTAGTGTTGAATTGTGCAGAAAAGACAGTGGAAGCTACTTGGGAATATTTGTATTATTATGTTATTTATTGAATTTTTGTCTATTTGTTATTACACAACTGACAAAACTTCTGAATTGCGCAGAAAAGGAACTCGAAGCTACCTGGGAATATTTTTAATAATATTTTATTTATTGTAATTTTTTCCATTATATTATTGTTCTTTAAGTTTAATTCATTTTTATTCTTCATTTACAGATACAATTTTTCAACCTTAAATAAAACTTTGAACTTCGGATGGCACATGGCAACTAACATACTCTAGACCTGGATTCGAGCCAGGTACCACTAGGTAAATAGACCACCTAGAACGCATATAAGCCATTCAATTTTCAACTTTATTTACGGCGCATTTCGAACGAACGCTCCCAACGGGATGGCCACAACTGACAAAACTTCCGAATTGTGCAGATGTCAAAGGAAGTGCGTCTTAGTACAGCACAGAGGCGTCTCTAGGGTATGTATATATGCATTGGAATATATTATATGTATGTATATCACATTAATGCGTGTTATGTATAAATTGTAGCCTGTTTGTGGTGATAAGGAGTCGACAGCCTGCTTGGCCTGCGCAAAGTAAATTGTTTACTTTTTACCTTTAAGGCAGCAGACCGAAGAAATCTCAGACTGAACTAGCAGCTGGTTTCTCCTATATGTGCTAATTGCAACAGTTTGTGTAACTTCCCCTTAAAGGGTAGCAAGAACTTATCCACAGCTGCGATTCTAAGCAGGATTTTTGTGTGAAATATTTCATAAAATAAAAATATTTGAATACGTCTCTAGCATCAACAGTTCCTGTGAATGTAATAATTTTGTACATAATATTTTTATTTTATTTTATTTCTGATCTCAATTGCTTTTTAAACATAAGATCTCTTTTTTTAATTTTGGATCATTATTGAACCCTCCTCAACAAAATTTAATATACTGCATTGAGCATTTGAACAGCGCCGATAATTTCCCATGCCTGATGAGGCATAACCAAAATAAATTAGCTCTCAATGCGCCAAATGTGACGCCAAGATGAAGGTTGGTAACACGGTATCCATTAAAACAGGGAAGAGCCCTTGTGTAGCCATGTTTCCGTCTGTTGCTCTGTCTGGATGTCAATGCAAAGTGATCGCCACAAAGGAAAGAGCGTTCAAAGGGTTTGCGCACCCTCAACAGCAACAGCAACAGCAGCACACAAAAGCATAAAAAGGACTCACAATGAGTCATCGACCTGAGACTGTGGACCATTCATGAGCTGCGCAATATGCGTGGCAACATAAAGGAGCACCAGGATCAGGTTTCTGCGTCCGGACAAACTCGTTGGGTCAGCAGCGGGATGCAACTGGCAAAATGCAACTAAGAATCCGTTGGAGTTTAAGATTTATGTGCAAACAATCTTTGAATCTGTACATAAGCCAATTATGTACATATTAATAATGGATAGGCATAGGCCTTAAGTCTTGCATACTCTATTGATTCAAAGGGCGTCAGATATTTGAATAGGAAATATTTGAATTGAAAATGTATATCTATTATGCTATTTGTTTTTGCCCTAATGGGTTATGCTGTGATCAGATTGGTGTTCATCGGGGATGTTGATTGGCACTTTATGTGTTTAACAAGAGAGCTCCTTCATTTCCACACAGTTTGAGTTCATATATCATTTTACATATTTATTTGCTCCATGTTCACTTTGTTACCATTTTCATTTTAGGTTTTCATAAACAGCACTTGAGTTTTAGGTAGACTGGATCTAAAAACAGTTTATTTTGTGTGATTAAATATTCACTCATCACTTTTAAAATTTTTGTTAAATCTTATATGTGACCTCCATCGTCACTTTGTTTTAAAATTGAAACCGCGATTTCCATGTCCGATTTGCTTCAAACTTATTTTCAAAGGTCTACATAAGAACTTAATGAATACGTGTTTCAGCGATTTGGAAAAATCCACCCACAACAATCGTAAATTAGCGGAACATGGTAGTATAAAAGATGTTAGTAAGTTTCAAAATCATTTTCAAAGCTTTTTGAGAACATTTATTTTATAGGTGCCACAGGCAAGGCCGGGTTATACCCGCTAGTCAGACAAATTTCAATTCGAAAAGATGTCAAAAACTTTATGTGCCAATATCTTGGCCAAATAAAGCCCGATTCCCGGCAGATTGGGCGCGGTGAGCTCGTGGAAGTCCATAGAATAGAACGACAGTTTTTTGATTTCAGAAAAAAAGCCATTTTTAGCAAAAACGTGATTGCATTTTTGGACATTTTAGGTCAAGTCTTAGAATGCAGATTTTTGGATGGCAATCGATAGTCGGGACCCTTACGACTAGAAGGAGGTATATCACTCCGAATTAGGACTGTATTTCGCGGAGCTCCATTTTCCTCAAAAATATGAGTTACAAAATGAAAAATTGATTTCACGATTTTAAACTCCTAACCTTTTCTGGAAAGGACTTCAGTTACTAGACACATAGCCATTTATACAATCAATAACAATCATGTCAAATATCTCGGCTAAATGCGGTCCGTTTTTCAGAGCTCAAGAAAAATCCATTTAAATTCTAAGAAATATTAATTTATTCTTGCAAAATGGCTGAGCTATGGCGAATTTCTATTTTTAAGCCAAATCGGGCACGTCCCTGGCCGAACAGATTATTAAAACCGGTTTCTAGATGACCCCCTTAGTTTCAAACTATCATATATATAGTCCTAGGTGAACCTATAGTTCCAAATCCCAACAAAATTCTCTTCAAAACTTTATCCACAATGAAATTAAGGTTTAAAAATTAACGGTCGCAAAATCCCCATTGCACTTGGTCTGGTCACATTTTCAAATCAAAATTCAGCACCAGGAAAAACGTGGTATGCAAGTCGATTCCAGAGTACGAGTTCAAAAAGGTATAACTTTCCAAAATCTGACCATTTTTAGCCGATTTATCGCAAAAAAAAGAAAAATCTTCAAAATTATAACGGCATTTTTTCGCGTTTTTTAAATGGCTGTATCTCGGCCAAATAAACCCCGATCTTGGAAAGATTGGTCTCGTTCGACTCGTGGTCACAGCCATTTTCAGCCAACATCGTCATTTTTGCAAAAAACATAGTCGTTTTCCTCAAATTGGGACATTTCTTAGAATTCATATTTTTAGGTGTCAATCGATAGTCGGTATCCGTACGAAAAGAAAGTGGTATATCATTTCGAAATCGGACATATGGTACCCGAGATATTTCAATTTTAATTGCCCAGTAGGCAGACGAACTAAAATATTTTTGAGTGAAAAATTGCATTGCATACCCACAAAATCAACGATCGCAATGGCATACTTTTACAGCCACAGGCTGCAGCTATGTAAAAGAGGTGCTGAAAGCAAAAAAGCATTAACAGTGGACTGTTAATAAACTTGCAAGTCATTATTATGGCACCTGCAATGCATTTTTTTGCAGTGATTCGATCCTCTAGGTTCACAAGGACTATATCAATGGTATGGTATGACCAAGGTTCTGTGGGTCCACTAGGTACCTTCGATGGGGGAGAGGGGAGGCTTGCTGGGAGATGGCTGAAAGATAAAGTATTCATATTTTTTGACTATTTCAGTCATTTAGGTAAGTTAGGACGTTATCTTTGGTAGGGTAAAACCAAGGATAAATGGGTCATCTAGGAACAATTGGTTTTGCCTGTCATGTATAATAAATCTTATTTATCTATAACTTCTGCTTTTAATTTCTAGCTAAATCTTTTTTCTCTGGCAGTACTCACCGCTGGAATAGTAAATTCTTGGCGAATGCATAGAGCTCAATGTCCAGGCCATTGAGCTTCTCGATGCGTCGTCGCTGATCGGGACGCAGATTCGCGACGGCAGCTGCGGAAATTGTGGCATTGTGCTGCTCGAAGGGTATGGCAAAGCGCAGATTGAAGGTCTCCTCGAAGATGTATTGGGACATCTGAAAGGTGGATACAGGTAAGGTAAGTTATGATAGATATAAATTTACTCGAGCTAACCTTCTGATATTCCGTCAGTCCAAAGTACGCCATGGCGGCCAGATTACGCTTGGCGCTGGCCAACATGACCCGATCGCGTTCATGCGCCTGCATCGAGGACTTGTTGTAGCAGCCGACCAGGGCGAGATCGGCCAGCATGCGGGTCTGCCGATTGGCAGCCAGATTCGACTCACAGCCGGCAAACTGATCGAGATCCACGTCCAGCCAATCCTTGCCCTTATAGCAGGGCGGCAGCTCGACGGCCGTTGCCTGTCGGCCCAGGCACCAGTGCCGTGATCCCTTCCAGGTGGCGCCGCGTCGCACATGCCGGTACTCGGACATATAGCGTGAGATCGGTTCGCGCAGCAGCGAGATATAGAAATAGCGACGTTTGGCCGTCTCGCCCTCGTTCTTGTCCAGCTCAACGTCCACACAGCTGGTCAGCTCGGTCCAGTCGGCGTGCAGGCCGCACTTCCAACCCGTCGAGTATCTGGAGAAGAGCCAGTTCTCATTGCGATGCGGACGGAAGCAATAACAACGCTTGCGCTGACGCTGGCACTCACAAGGACGCTGCAGGTTGGATTCATTGAAGATTACTTCGATTAGATATATAATTCTAACACAGCTCACCTTCAGGTCCAAGTCGCGTACCAGATGCCGTCCAAAGGAGGTGCCGCCTGTTTTTTGTATGTGCAAAAATACCATCACATCGTGCCCATCCATATCGAACTGGAAATCATCGTTCAGCACATCCTCATAGCTCAGTCCTGCATTGGCTATTATATTCTGTGGTGCTGAGGCTTTCGACGCAATTGCCGTGCTGCCGCCCGCATTATTGTTATTGTTATTGTTGTTGCCGGCTTGGTGCAGCGCCACGGGCTGCAGCTCATTGTAGGCCATCATGTCCGAGGACTGGAGTATTACGGCGCGTTTGGAGAGCGCGCATACCTGTGGTTCGTGGGCAATAAGACCAAAAGTGGATAGCATTAAAAATGAGTACACCGAAAATTGTTAAATGTTATTTTATTACTCATAATACCCTGTAAAAAAAAGTTGTGTTTCGGGCATATTATATAAGTACATGTATGTTTAAGGAAGGAGACAATTGAAAACTATATATATTGAAACGATAAGATTCATTAGATTAAGAATTGTAATTTCTGAAAATGTTTTGATTTCAATATGTTCTACACTACACATAAAGCTGTTTAAGGCATTGTAAGATAATTGTTTAATAACAAATTAATGTTCATAAACAACACTATATATATACTGGCTGCGAACTATATTGCGGGGCTTGGAAATCATCCAAATCGCCTTCTAAAGAGACGTAGAATTGGAGGAGTCCGAATGCGGAGGAGATTGCGGAGGTGTCATCCAATCGATCTCTCAGATCGGTTTATATAATCACCCTACCCTTGTAAATTTTTATGTAAGACTTAACAGTTGAATAAGTATTGTAAATATTCACATACGTTTAATTAAAGGTGTTTCCATAATAACATTATAATTGAAATAAAGCAAACAAAATGTAAAAAAAAAAGTTGTGAAATAATATATGTCCATGTCTACAGGACAGCTGCTAGTCTATCACTCTCTATCAGCCTAGATAATTTTTCTGCCTTTTTATTGCCAGCATGGGTTTTAAAATAAAATTTATTGCCAGCAAAAATTACACAAAATACCTGTATGTGTGTGTGTGTGTTTGTGTGAGTGCAAGTGAGTATATTGCTGGGTGTTTATTTGTTTTCAACATTAATTAAATGAACAACGAGATTAAATGCATTTTTGTGAAGCCGTCAGCAGGCTACCTCTCCAGCTGTTATATCTTCAGGCGTGTCAACGCTGCATACTGCGGTCTGCCTGTCGAGACTCTCCTGACGGACAACGACTGCTCAGCTGAAATGTGCAATTTTTTTATTTTATTTATTTTACTCACTCAACGATTATTAAGTGGGTAATTGCGTTGCACTTCAGCTATTTGTCGCATTTATTTACTCTTTACCTATACGCCCGCGAAATTAATATCGAGCTCAAGAGCAGCTGGCGTGAAAATTTTCCGCTGCATACTTTTGTGCGCGCATCTTAATTTGTATGAGCACATTTAATGGAATGTCGGTAAATATTGGATTTCCCTTGAAATCCAATTGGAATGCTGAATTGGATTATGGTATGCAATTCGTAATGAAAAGGCAGAAGAATTTCATGGATTTCAAATAATATAATTAATAATCGCTATGCCAAAGACTAATATTAAGCATACAACTAATTAATATATCATTATAAAACTTTCGAATGGCTCATAAACTATTAATAATATGTACACATATGTACAAAATATTTAAGCTTGAGTATAAATTGCCTTTTCTTTCATACAGAAAAAGTCAAGTTCTATGTATTTTCTTTTTAACAACAGATGACAATTTGTTCTACAAGTTACGTATAATCAAAATTTCTTAATTGCAGAACTCACTTATAGTAAACAAGTGTGAAGATGAAGCAATGCATTATTATTTCAACATAATTTCTTTGTTTGGTTCCTTGATTATTTTTGTTCTTTCTCAAACAGATGCTGTGTGAGTGTCCGATTATAGACAAGTGACTCGGAGACGAAGCATTGAAGTCCTCAGAACTTGAAGCAAAAGTTTCTCGATTAAAATGAGCAACTTTTTGCGAAATTCTTTCAATCTTACTCTCTTATCTAAGCATTTCCGCTGCTTATTGCCAAAAGCCAGTACATACAACCAGCCAAAGCGCAAGCCGGAACAACTAACAAGCTGAAACAAAAACAACAACAACAATTGGGCCAACTGAGCAGCTCATTAAACAATTGTCCGTGGGCTTTGGACTGGATTGGTGCGTGGGTTCATAAGAAATTAAGCAGCAGTTTGGCTGGTTGTGTGGCTCTATGACCATAGGCCCTATCTTAAGTTCTGCACGCGGCTCGTTATAAGCGCATGAATGCGTGTTAACTTGGCGATAAGAAGAAGAGGGGGCACCATCAGCCGAAGCTGAGGGAATAAACAAGCGAACTGTACATTTACAGCTGCATGTGGTAAAAGGTTTACCGTCTGGACAGGTGCAAAACTTTTGAATTTATTGTGCAGCAGGAACAAGAGAATTCGATTATCAGGCAACTGCTAGAAAAATGGCCAAAACTTCAGAGTTGGCGCCCTTGGGCATTTGTGTTTTATTTATTTTCTTTTGTGGGGCAGCTGCTTAAGGTTTATTTATTTGTGTGTTTGGGGTACTTAAATTTCTGCGATTTTTGGCTTGGCATAAGAAAGAATATAAATAGAATAAATTTATGTGCAGCGCATAAAATGCAATTTGCGCGAAAATGAGACGGAAATCTACCATTAATGAGTAATTTAATTTTATTTTCTCGTAAGCCAGCAACCACAACAACAACACGTGTGTATGTTGGGGCCAGCACTTTGCTGGCCATTTAATTGCTTTTTATAGGCGGACATAAAAAAAAAAATTACACACACTGTGGCCAGGCGCCACAAACCACAAACCACCGACCGACCAACAAAAATATCCACTAACATGTCCAAGTCGAGCCACATTTTAGTTAATGCCCGCAGCATTCCGTAATAATATAATAATAGTAATCATTTAGTGGGCAAATTTGTTTGCTGTTCACGCGCCAAAAATTCCCAGGCACACACTCGCTCACGCACACATAAATACAGACAATGGCACATGGTGCGAGTTTAGTACATGTGTGTGAATTTTTGCAGTGTTGTTAAATGTTTAGCACACACACCCACACGCAATTGCAAGTGCTTAATTTAGAGATGTGACCGTGAAGCAAATAAAAAAAAAAATAGGCTGAAACATTTTATGAATTATATTTCTTATTATTAATATATAGCCTGGGGTTATAAGCCCAAACATCCACAGCCATAGATTAGAACCCTGTTTCTTCCTGTTAAATCAGAAAGTACAATATATAATATAAAAGAATATAATATTGTATTCAAACATATAGTTTATGAGGTTAGGTTGAGCTACAAAAAATGAATTCTTGAGGTTATCCAATAATACCTGATATTTTGTAATTCACGCCAATCTCAAAACTCTATTAATCTGTCTAATTCGTTACAAAAAAATATGTTAAAAATCTTTTGGTTGTTATACGTAAAAAAAATGTAAATTGTCTTCACTGTGGTGTGATACCCAAATCTCGTGCTTCCGACTATATAAAACTAATCACGCGCACATCTCTAGTTTATTTTTTATGTTCCGCACATTGGCGTGCAAATTGTGTTGCATACTTATGGGGTGTATATGGTAAAACTTTAATCAGCTTACGGAAATTATTGTTTTGAATAGTTGTTAAGTATGTTTTTTTTGTGTATATATAGTTTACTAGTTATAACCGTCTTATAATGCATGTTAGCAAAAAATAATGCATTCAAAATTGATAAAATAAATTGAACACACAGTAAACAGTTTAATAAATATTATGTGCAGTTCTTCTTCACCAATTTCCCAGCTTAGGTAACAAGTTTATTTTCTGAAATTTTACGCTTTCGCATGCCATGAAAACTATAATTATTTATGGTACTATTAGTTTTGTCAACTAGCAGCAGGAAATCGCAAACTCATCGCTTTTTAACTTTTGATATTCTCAATTAAATAAAGTGCAAACGGCTGCTGGAAAGGTCTTGACTGCAGTTTGGGACAGGGTGAAAAACAGAGGTGGCTGGAAAATAAAACTAAACTATTCAGTTTATGCTTATGACAATCATAATTTTTAGTATCTACGTGCAAAAAAGCCACTAAAATAGCAGAAAAAAAACAAAAATAAAAAAAGCGACTAGAGCCGCAAGTTGGAGTTAAGTAAATTAATATTTACGAGAGTGTGTGCTACACAGATTTAAGACTTAAGATTGTGCGCTTTATAAAGCAGGAATATATAGACTAAGAACTGTGCAAGTGTGCACAACACATACTCACACACACACATATACACAAACATACATGCTCATCACGACTCGTAAATTTCCTGCACACCAAAAGTAAACAATAAAACTTTTTGTGCTCCAAAAAAGAAAAAGAGACAGAACATTTTCTTGCTCAAGATTTGATGCTGAGCGGCCATAAAAGGCAAAAACGAAATAGAAAAAGCAAATGAAAATTGTGGAGAAATACGTACTGCCGGTGCCATAAAAATGTACGCAAATGCAGAAAATAAATTGAAGAATCTACAAAATTGTAGACGTATACACAATCTGGTTTATTGCTTATTTTGAGACAAACAAAAAAAAACACCATTTCTTTGCAGTTAAATTTTTTATTTGTAACAGATAGTTACGTGTCCGGTGATATCGCGCAGACAAACTGTTAAAGCAAATTAAATTTACAGCAATTTTTTAAAAAATAAATCAATGATAAAGACACTTACGAGTTTTGGGCGTTAGTTCGCCATTTTCCCTTAATTCCTCATTGGTCTGCGCCCGCAAACCCTGGCAAATGCTCAAAATAAGCAGCAAAAATATTTGTAACTGAGCTGCGTACATGGCTAAAATAAGTCTGGCTAAAGACCTCGGGCCAGAGTTTACCTTAAAAACTAGAAAAATTGTGCAGTTCACGCTTAACGCTTTAATGGCATTAAGGCATTCGATGAAGTTTGAATATTGTCGCACTGATACATGGACACACACTTCAAGGAGTAGTCGTCACGCACAAAGCCAGCTATGCAGCCACAGCCCAGATGACAGACCATTGTGCAGGAGCCATCGTAGTTAAAGGGCACCGAGCAGCTCGGTTCATAGCAGGGCAAACAGGCGCGTTCCTCATTCTCGCCACAGGCTGTAAGTGAATGGTTGGATTGGATGGGTTAGGGAAACTGACACGGAAAATTTCGCCCTTTGGCTTCTACGCTTACGTACGTTGGCCATATGGCGCTGCTGTGGCAGCTGCCACCAAGCAGCTGAGCAGCGTGAAAGCTGAACGCGATGCAAATGTAAACAACAGCATGCCACAACTACATGCGGCAGGCAACAACCTGCAGCAAGCACAGCGGCAACAAAAACCGCCAACACGTTGGCTCTTTACGCTCTTTAAGCAATTCGATTTGTGTGCTACGGCAATTAGTCACATTTGCTTTAACTCTGCTCTACACTCTTCACCATCCATTTGCTTACAGGGTATGAAAGTGATAAACACGAACAAAAGACTAGTGCGTATGCTCTAGTCGAGAGTGCCTGACTAGCAGGTACCCTGCAATCAACGCTTGGCAACGTATTCTACATAACATTTTATTATTTATTGTTATATAACTTCTTGGTTTATTGTCCACTCGTAGCCAAAATTTCCGGACTTAAAGTTATGTGTATATGCCGAAAATCAAGGCAAAGTAAATACTATACACGTTTTTTATATACAGAAGGACGTCTCTAGGTCTAATAGTCTAATAATTCGATAAGCAAAACTGTTGCGAAATCAATATTTATCGATAAAAAAAAACTGCTTGAGACGATTAGAAATAAACGTGTTATCGAAGCCAACATTTTGTGGCTCTTCTAGTCTTATTTATTTGAATTGTAAATGCGCTCTACATATTACAAAATTGAGCAACAATCCATTATACCCTTCTTTACCTATCATCAATCGGCTACAGGGTATAAATAAATGGTTTATTTATGCAAATGTGTCGATGCTTTTACTAATAGACGTAAACGTAAATTGTTTTTTGTTTTCAATTCAAAATATGAAACGTTAAGATTGCGAACGTATGACTAGCAAATAAGCTAAGTGATGAGATTGTGGGAGCAAAAGATGTTACTTGGAATTGATTAGAAGATTTACCTAAGAATGATAAATGATCAACATAGACAAATGCAACTTAAATAAAAGTTTTATTTTAAGCGCAGTCAAATTTTTTATAAATACGACGAATTTAAATAATAATGCCAGTTTTAATTCAGGTATATATTAAGTATCGCAGGAGCCCTGAAAAGCAGATTAGGCAAATTCAGATGGCTGCTCAACAGTAGAAATGCGCTATCTTTAAAAAACAAAGTAAACATATACAAAACCTGCCTAGCTCCTGCCTGGCGATATGGTATTCAAGTTTACGGTATTGCTGCAAAATCGCGCCTTACGAAAATCAGGGTGTTTCAAGCAAAAACGCTCCGTTATCTGTCTGGTGCCCCCTGGTATACCAGGGAACTTCCGAACTTCCGATTTGGAAAAGACGTCATAAACAACCAGGCTGCAAACTACATAACGCGACTGGGAAACCATCCAAATCGACTGGCTAGGCGCCTTCTAAAGAGGCGTCGAATTGGAGGAGTCCGAACGCGGAGGAGATTGCGGAGGTCTCATCCAATCGATCTCCCAGATCGATATATATAGTCACCGTAACCTTGTTAATTTTATATTCGACTTAATAGTAGACTAAGTAGTATTGTAAAATTTCTAATAAATTTAGTTTAAGTTGTTCTTATAATAACAGGAAAATTAAAATAAAGCTAAGAACATTTTATAAAAAAAGAAAAGGTATATATTATTATATTTAAGTGCGCTTCATTACTCAGCTGCTTAAGCACATGAATAGCTGAGCTTAGTTAAATATAGTACTTGAGCGCTGCTTTGATTATGCATATTATGCATATTATAACAATTTTGCGACTATAATCGCATATACATAATTAACGATGCCATACAAAGGGAATTCGAGCCTAAAATGCGCAACCCCAAAAGCGGGCTATAAAATATTTATATGCCGTCTGCTAATGGCGTGACTTTTGGGTTTTTTTTAGCAAGGCAGGCGCCGAAAATAATTCACATTTGCCGTGTAATAATCGCATTGGCATGTTAAAATCGCATAAGCGTCCATTTTATGCACAAAATTTACACAAAATTTTCGTTGTAAATTTCAGGCCAAAATTGACTCTACACAACCCTGAACGGCCACGCCCATGGCCATGGCTCCAAACGTTGGTGTTTTTCTGCATTTTCATGTATTTGTTTAAATGATAATAAAATGCAGCACTGTAATGTAATTTATCATTCGAACAGTGAGTGTGCTTTCGTGTGTGTGTGTGTGCCAGTGTTGTATAATTTTTATATTTCCGTTTTCATGTCAGCCACATGGGGGCATTGGGTTTATGCGATAGCACGAAGCCTGCCTCCAGCTATATTGTTTACCTGACAGAGTCAGTGTGTGTGTGTGCGTGCGCCTGTGTGTATAGTCCTTCTATAGTCCTATAGTCCTTTCTGGCTGGCCATTTTGTGCGCCTGATTGTATATGGATTGTGTTGTGTGTGCTTTCAAGTTGCCCATTGAATGGTTAGCCACAAACATGGTATATGACAGCATCAAAAAGGCTGCCCCCAACAACTCTTAACTTGACTAATGCTGGGCTTATACGGCAAATAAAAATATAGCCTAAGCTCAACAATTGTCATCGCACTCCAGTTCAAGTATGTGAGGGAATTGGAGTTGAAGTGCCACAAGGCGAGTGTTTCATTTACCTTCAATCTTTGATAGATATCTCTATTTATTTGAATTAAATATATTTCAAGTTTTATTTTGTTCGGAGAGTTAATTCCATTTTAAATGCTTGTACCTAGATAGAAGCTCAAGCAACTTTGCAGAAATGTTGATCAGAATTATGAAAATGAAAATCCTAAAATAATTTCAAGATAATTTCAATTAAGGCCTTTGGCATTTCTCGGTAAATGATATGATATTTGGCCAGCGAGAATTTGGGAATTTACAAATTTATTTTTAAATATAATTAGCTAAAGCGAAAATCAACAATAGAAATATGATATAGGCAAAGATTACTAAATGTCTGTCAAATATTTTATGAAATTTATTCGCCTTAATAAATGTGAATAAACTTGCGATAAATACTTAAAACCTGGAATTAAATTATGACATGCCATGCACAAAGGAAAAATAGTTGTAAGCCATTTGTGTCGGGGGCTATCCATAAATTTGGATAGTCCAAAACGGTGCGGATTGATGTATTCATTTTGCAACGAACGTGTGTGTGTGTGTGCGTGTGTGTGTGTGTGTGTGTGTGGTGTTTGTCGTTTCATTTATCAAATGGAAGCTCAAACATTCTGGGTTGGGTTGTGATTTCAGGCATTAAATCATTGACAGTTGCTTATGTTTTCAATGGATATTCTGCTGCTCGAGAAACCCAGAGAGCAAAGAAAATAAGGGAACAAGAAATGATGGGCAGCTATTTATTATTTTTTAAAGCACAACGTTGAAAGCTAATCTATTTTAAGTGGCTGTAAAGCATTGAAGAAACGGATGCCTGTGTGTATGCGCGTGTGTGTGCGCGGGTGTGTGCCCTAATGAAATGTAGCATAATATTTTTAGTTTAGACATTGGCCGAAACCCACGACTCGACTTCGAGTGTGTTTATGATAAGCGTTGTGTAAATCCCCAAAAATAAGCAAGGACACAGCGCACCACACACACACCCACACACCCACACACATAACCGCCACACACGCACACACACAGAGACAAATCCCCTATAAGTGCTGAATAGCTTTGGATAGTCCAGCGCTGTCCGCTCGCCTTTGGTCACTGACCATAAATTCAACTAAAATATATTTTGACATTTTGCACGCAAAGCGGTTGATGAGCATGGGAACAAGGGGTACAGGGGGGGAAGGGGCGTGTTATGGGGCTAACTAAGCGTATTGGCCTCCCACATCTCGGGGTGCAAATGGGCCAAAGGGAACGCACACAGCTATAGAAAGGTCATCGCAAGGACCAGGCCGCATTTCCTATGAAGTGTTAACATGCGATAACAGCAAAAGCAAAAGCAACGGCAACGGCAACGACAGCCCCCAAACAACAAACACAATAAATGATGCCAAATGCTGATGATGGCCCAAAGATTCTGTGCTTTAAGAGATGAAAGCATGTCGAATATTTCCAGGAAAATACACGAAGTATACAAAACAGTTTAGTCAATCTTCTGAACTGCATTAATTAAAATACTAAACAAATCGTGTTGAGTTACTGTAAGTAGTGTTGTGAAATTCTTTCTTATATTATGCAGCCTTAAATATGCTTGAGAAGTAAGAAGGAGTGTGGCAAACAGTGTTGAGTAATACGAAGCAGTGCTAAGCTGCCTCATATTTGTAAACAGTGTTGAGTAGTGCGAGCCAGTGTTTAACTGGATTGAGTAATGGCAAACAGTGTTGAGTAATGGGAAGTTAATTGACGGTAAAAAATACTGAGTATTGAGTATAATATTAGTATTGAGCAGGGGCTAAGTGATTTCAAGTACTGCCAATAATTTATGCGAGTTCGTGTCACGTACGCAAACACGCTGGGCGTTCAACTCTACTCTAGACTTTATAGACGCCCGAACTCCTGAACTTTTCAGCTATACATATTTATCATTTATTGCGCTGTCATTTGGCATTGTTTTTGGTTTTGCAGCAAGTTACCAAAGCAGTAAATGAAGTGAAATGGCTCGAAAATGACGATAAAGCAAATCAATGGTTCTACATTCTTCATCCTTACCATACACTTCTTCTACTCATTTTTTTTTCACTTTAGATTGTTGCAACATCGAAATTCAGTGAATGTTGCAACATTTAAGGACTTTACTTAGTTTCTGTGGCATTTTCATGCATCTCCATTTCCTTTTTTTTCCTTTTTTTGCGCTCGCCAAAGCATTTTAATTGCTCTTTTTAACAGCTAAAAATTCTTTTCCATGCTCGTAAACTGGTGTAAGAAATTGTTGTGGCTGCTTGTTTGGCATAGAGAGAGAGGGGGAGGTGGAGAAAGGGGTGTCTATGTGAAGGCGTGTGACATAATTGGCGACCGCTGCGCTGAGCTGTTGGGGCTGCTGGGGCTGTTGGGGCTGTTGGGTCTCGTTGTCAGGGCCATAAAAATGTGCAAAGTATTCGGTTCGCCGACTATGCTATATGCATGAGACCCAACAGCCTTGGCTAGCCGCAAGTTAAGGAACTGAAGAGGTCGCGACCTGGCGCTAGCTTTTATTTTTTAAATATTTTTTATTCAGC